GAGGAGACACTGATATTTCCGTTGGTGAAAATGGTGGGAGAATGGGGAGGAGTAACCTCACCTTGGGAAGGGATGCTAAACAATGATGGGAGAGAACCGAGGGGGACAATAGACTTGATTTTATGTTCCTGGGTAGACACTGTGAATGTTTCTCCCAACCCTTGATAGCCAACCACACCATGGACTAAGCACCACGCTGACCTTGCAGGCAGCATGGCTTTTCAGACCCTTGGGCCTTTGGGGCTGGCCCAGCCTCTGCCCAAACAAATAATTCAACTGTGCCAAATCTTTTTAGTTCTATCACGAAGTGCCCAGAAGCACCCTCTCCCAGGAGCCCCCTGATAAAAGGCATTCCATTCTCTTGCTCTATGGGTTGGAGCCATGTCAACCTGCACCAGTTTCCTGGTATGTTTCCATTTCTCAGCTATTTCTTGATCTCTATGTCAACTCTGGTGTCACAACTCTCATTTCCTGCTGTGATCTTACTAAAATTGTCTTTCACTGACATAATTCCAACAGTTTGTTCATGGCAATCAAAATTCTTATTATGAGGCACCTAGAAACTGTTCCAACTTTAAAACTGTTTCTACACTTTAGGTATCTAGTAGAGCAACATTCATTTGGTGCTAAATCCTTAGTTATGTAGTGCTTCTATAACACAGATAGCCACAAGTGGGTGGCGCTAACAAACGGAAACTAGTTTCTCACAGTGTAGTAAGTTAGAAGTCTTCATTCAGGGTTATCAGGTCTAGGGGAAGGCATTATCTCTGATGGCTCTCGTGGAAGGTCCAGTCTCCTCTCAATGACAGTGGGCCACATTCCTTGGAGATCTCCTGGTGTCTTGAGTCCAGGAAGGTCTTCTTTCTTGTTGGTATTCAGGATTCTCTTCTCCCCTTTTATCTCTTTTAAGATATAGCCCAGTGAAACGACCCCTCACATTGATTGGATCAGGACTGTGATCTAAGTATTGCATCCCACTTTAACCCCCTATAACTGATTGGTTGATTACATCAGTTTACAACACGAGATGATTTTTACATAACTGCCAAACTCCATCATTATAAAACTGACAAGCAATTAAGAATCATGGCCTAGCCAAGTTGATACATATTTCTGTGGGGTGACACAATTTAATCCAAGATATCTTGTGGAAGGGACTTCAAAAAGTTTGTGAAAAAAAATCTTCATTTTCCCAGAAGCTTTTAGAAGCCCTTCATATATAAGGCAATACAGAAAATAAAGGGGTTAGAAGATGAGACTACTTTCCTAATAAGTAACTCACTTTATCTTCAGTTTACTTTTAAAAATCAGAAGAATACTCTACCAAAAAAAAAAAGTGATATAAATCAAATGAAATTACTCACCTAGCAAGTTGTGCTAGTTCTTTTTGGGTCAATGGGCTTCCTTGTTTGCATAACAAATTTTTAAGCAAAAGTAGTCTTGTCTGAAAAGAAAAATTAAAGAATCAGTGCTACAAACTAGCTTAATAACATACCTATAAGAGAATAAACTTTCAAAAGCCATCTTTGCTTTTTATAAAGTATCAATGACTGGGCATTTTAAAATGCTCAAAGCTGAAGATGCCTGGAATAATGACAATTGTGCTGGGTGTTATGGGGAATTCAAAGGACATGATTTTTTGCTCTTTTAAAAA